GGTTGCTGTCACCTTGTTGTTGTTGTTGTTGCTGTCACCTTTCTATCCAACCTTAAAACGTGGAGGCTAGTCATACTGCTGCATTCCACAAGTCTGACAAGGTTTACGCCAAGTTCTGAGCAATTTTTCGTATTTCTCTACTCATAAAATTCACGTTATTAATGTCAATTGTAATTAAACCGTCCGAGGAAAGCGGTCAAGAGTGCATATTTTTTGGTTTTCCACTGAGACATCGACGAATGTCTAACGTTTACACGTTTTTGGGGCAGGACAGAAATGGTTGTGTGTATGTGTTGTTGATTGTGTAATCACAGGCGAAGCTAAATAAATAAATAAATAAATAAATATTAATTTTATTTATTATTATTATTGTGCTAATTACGATCATGATGATAATAATAATAAATATGATTGCCATGACAACCAAAATTTATTTTGCTAATTTTGATCATTATCATAATAATGATTATGACCATATATATATAACCATAATTTATTAATATTATTATGTTAATTACGATCATGATGATCATAATATTGATCATGATTGCTATAGCAACCCTAATTTATTATGCTAATTTTGATCATTATCATAATAATGATCATCATTGTATCGATAGCAACCATAACTTATCATGATAATTATGATAATTATGCTAATTATGATCATATTGATCATCATTGTTGCCATAACTACCATACTTTATTATGATTATTATATTAATTTTGATCATGATTATCACAATCATCTTCATTGTTGATATAACAACCATAATTTGTCATGAATATTATTCTAATTATGCTAATTATTATAATAATGATCATCATTGTTGCCATAGCTAACATAATGCTAATTATAATAATTAGGATCATAATGATCATCATTGTAGCCATAGCTACTATAATTTATGGTGATTTTAATGCTAATTATGCTAATTATGATCATAATGATCATCATTGTTGCCATAGTTAACATAATTTATTATTATTATGCCAATTTTGATCATTATCATCAGAATGATCATCATGCTTGCGATAGCAACCGTAATTTATTATGATAATTATGCTAATTACTTTAATTACTATCATAATGATCCTCATAGTTGCCATAGCAACCATAATGTTTTTTGATGATGAAGCTAATGAAGCTAATTATCATTATAATGATCATCATATTTGCTATAACAACCATAATTTATTATGCTAATTTTGATCATGATCATCATAATGGTCATCCTGGTTGCCATATCAATCATCATATATTATTATTATTATGGTAATTACGATCGCGATGATCATAATAATAATAATGATTTCAATTTAAACCGTCATTATTATCCTAGTCTTGATCATTATCATCATGATGATCATCATAGTTGCAATAGCAACCATAATTTATTATGATTATTATGCTAATTATGCTTATGATAATAATTATCCTCATTGTTGGCATAGCTAACACAAATTATAATGATGATTATGCTAATTTTGATCATAATCATCGTAATGATCATCATGGTTGCCATAGCAACCATAATTTATTATTGTTTTTATGCTAATTATGCTAATTATAATAATAATTATCATCATTTTTAGCATAACTAACACATATTATTATGAATATTATGCTAATTTTGATCATGATCATCATAATGATCATCATTGTTGCCATAGCTAACATAATTTATTATGATTAATATGCTAATTTTGATCATGATCATCATAACGATCTTCATGGTTGCCATGGTAACCATCATTTATTAAGAATATTATACTAATGGTGATCATGATCATAATAATGATCAGTGCGGCACAGATATTGTTATAATTTGTTTCAAATTAGCTATAATGTACATTTTCATGTTCATTTGCTCATTATTTTTGCAGTAGCCGGTCAGACAAGTGAGACAGCAGGCAAATATGTCTTTGGTACTATGAATTTCTAGCTTACTATAACTCACCTTATTAGGAGAATACCTAATAATATTAATATCCGGATAGGCATTAACTATCATGCGAGTGAGCTATAGTATTTCATGTGCAAGCAGCCAAATGGCTGAATACGAAATGGCGCCAATCAAGTTTGTGTGCGCGGGAATGTAAATGTTGACCAATTTTATGAAGAGCTACAAATATAATGATGCTACTGGGTACGCAGAAGATGTAGCTGCTACAATTTAGTATAGCTGCCTTATCCAATTCGTCAAACCGTTTAAACATGGGCGAGTCGAAAGGTATGGACAATACAATATTTTTATACAATATTAATTTTAACAAAAGTTATTCAGTGGCATTGATCCAATCAATTCATCATGTTTTAATTATTAAATAAAGTTGGTTGAAAAAAGCTTCAATAGTTTAACGCTATGTAGCGTCGGTTCAGTAGCGTACCAATAGAACGATAATTGGGGGGTTGTTTATTCATATATTCAGTTCTGCATGCCCGACGGATTTCTTTTGTAAGAGCAATAGATTACAATAGAAATCCGTTGGGCTGAACTGAATATATGAATAAATACCCCCAATTAACGTTGTAGGTTACGCTACTGCATTGATATATTTCATTAAGCGCGCTTTTCAATGAATACTTCCCGCCAACCGTTCCACCTTTTTGTTATGCACAACGTTATTAGCTGCATATTTTTAATTTTAAATCTTGCTCAATATCGAAATACGACACGCAGTGGAATAAAATTATATATGGACGGTCTTGCAATCGATCGTCATTGAGAATTTGTAAAATATTAGCAGTGAAACCAAATGACAAAGTGTTGTTGGAATATCATTTTCAATAATGGTTATTTCCCAAAATTCTTCAATGATAGTTTTACCAAATACTCCGCGTCGAACGTAGAATTATAATCTTCCTTACTCCTTTAGATTGCTTATTATGACAAGGGGAAATCGAATTCAGCCAAATCAGGCGTTATGGATAAACAATAGTTGAAAGGTTTCCTGAGTTTAAAGTGGCTTAGTATCAGGTTTGCATACTTTTATATAATTATAGCTTGGTGGTCACATAACTAAGAGAATACATTAAGGGGTGCTAACACACAGCAAAAAATAATTTCTTTTTAAAATATTTTTTGAATAAATCTGTGTGTTGATACAACCCTTGATGCAAAATAAGTAGAAAAAGCCAACTATTGCTATATGCTTCAGTTGAAAAACTGCGCACTTTCGCCATGCCAGGGTCGAGTGTTAAGTTGTCTTTCAGGGTGGACATTCGGACTGCGGAATTACGGCTATCGTAAGCCACTATGCGGGCGGCGTTCTGTTGCAGGAGTAACAAAATTCTATTTATTTTTAGGGTAATTTTGCTATAGGCAGATGTAGGTAGCCCTAAAAAATTAGTTAATTAACTGACTACATGTTGATGCTCTGATGTAGTATTTCTACGATAAAATTCTTAGAGATATAAACATGTGTGGCAACCATGCAAGAATTTATTTAGCTAATTTGTTGTATCAAGTTTTAAAGTGATTCATATTTATGATATATTCATCTTATATTCCTACACGAAAAATTCGTGAGGAAGATGTGATTTGGTGAAACTCAAAGTCAAATATGACCATATATTTGCAGTCAAATTTGACCATTCTATATGTAGTCGTAACTCGTATATATGCCCATAAAATAGAAACGCATATAGGTATATAAACGCATATAAAGCGAAGAATAAAACCACGCAATGACGCAAAGGTTTTCTATGCTTCAGTTTGTGTTATTATGAAACCAAAATAAATTCTATACAAGCTATTCGAACCTCTCAGTTCTATACATTTTTATTTGCGAAATACATCCGGCATTTCATATCTAATTCCGTAATTATAAGAATTGACCTGCTTGTAATTCGGTAAATTTAGAAGCGGTGATCTTGCGTCAGTTTTTTCCTTTATTGATTTTTTACTTGGATGATATGTCAATTTTCACGAATGACCATTTTATTCGGTCCAGCATATTGCGCTCATGGTTACTATAGGATTACAAATTGTAAGTGCAATACTGCTAGTGAAAACACGTGGTGTCTTATCTCCCCCCAGTAATGTCTTGGGTAGTCGTCAGGATATATTAATATATATATATATATATATATATATATATATATATATATATATTTATATATGCGAATATGAAGCATTACGCATTCACGTAGGATGAAACGCAGTACTACGGTAGCTACGTGTGTTAAACAAATCAACTGGACGAGCAAAAATTGATGAAGTCGAGATGCATTTCCCTTACGAAAAAAACACATGTGAAAACACATGAGAAAAACACATGTGAGTCACGTATGAAATTGGAACAAACACATGTGTTTCACATGTGGTAAAAACACATGTGTTTCACATGTGAAACACCTGTGGTGAACCACATGTGAAACACATGTGGTCGACCACATGTGTTTCACATGTGGTTGACCACATGTTTTTGTTCCAATTTCACATGTATTTCACATGTGGGTGACCACATGTGTTTCACATGTATTTTAAAAAAATCATTAATATTCAATAGAAGTTTTGACCAATCCAATGAACCTTTTTAAACACGTGAGTAGGCTTTTATACTCGATAAAGCACTATCAGGACACTGTTTTATATAAAGACACATGTGGCTTTATAAAGACACATGTGGCTTTACATAAAGTTCATGTTCAATCCGATTGGTCGCAACGTCTATTGAATATTAATGTCGTATTTTAAGCTATTCAAAACACTCGTAGGTCGTGTTTTATGCGCTATAAAACGCTCGGCTGCGCCTCGCGTTTTATACCGCATAAAACACTCCTACTCGTGTTTTAAATAGTACATAATATACATTCCACACAGTATTAAGTTGATTGTAAAGCAAACAAATCAAGAGGTAAAATATCCAAAATCATAGATTTACTTTATACAATATACATCAATACTATAAGTGATAAAAATGGTGCTTGGGGGAACTATTTACATATGCCACACTGGCATACACTAAACATGTACTGGGTCAAATTAACTCATGCATCTATGCTCCCTCATGTTTTTTCCTTTTGTTTTCCATCGACACCCTTAGATCTTTGCATTTTTGGGCCATGGTTGACTTTATGACTACTCCACCAACTTGTGGGAATCTTTTAGTAACAAAATCTAAAAAGAAATAGAGACCTTGGCCTTAATACAAACAAGTTACAAGTAAACTTTTGAAGAAAACAAACATACTAACCTATAATCAGTTCAACCTTGCAGTAGTCCAATGCGGGGCGCCCCTCTTTACTTTTCCCGGTTAGTCGGTTACAGAGGATTCCGCCAGGACCTTTCTCTTTCAAACAGAGCCATCATCAAATTAACGGTCATCTTTTTAAAATTGGGTGATCGCATCACTTCACTCATTTGAAATGAGTCCAAGTGATCCTAAAACATATATAAAAGGAAATGAGGTGACAAGTTTAAAATATCAGATGTTGACCTTGCTATATGATCATGGGGTTTCCATTTTCTCAATAATTAACAATAATTCTGCAAACATGAGTTGAATATGCATTGACAGCCAACAAGACACGTAGCTATCAGTGTGATCAGATGTTTTATTCTATACACAAACACAGAACTCCTATTTCTGCCTTACTTAAATCATCAACATGCTCGGCCATCTTGAAAATTTCTCTACTAGCAGGTTATGAGCTGATATCCATTCAGTAACGAGGCAATCACATTGCAAGAAAGTTTATATCCATCACTGGTATATATAATAATTGGTGATATACTTACTGATAGTTTTGATGAAGCTGCTGCAGGTGTCATGGTAGTGACTGTGTCTTCAGATGAACAGCTGGATGCCGGTGAGTCAGGTCGAATCTTTGGCAGGGCCGTAGCTAGAAGCTTAATTGGGGGGGTGCATATTCATATATTCGTCTTATGCCCGAATGATTTCTTTTGTATGCTATTGTTCCTATGGTATATAAACATGAATATATGAATATACACCCCCCCAATTAAGCGGTCTAGCTACGGCCCTGATCTTTGGTGCGGAGGCACAAGCGTTGGTAAAGCAGGTGACCTTGATTGCCTGCTTAATTTGTTGTTGTCATTTAGTGCTGCCAGGATAGCTTCTTTGACCAACTTAGGCAATCCTAAAAGAACAGCATTTCTGGTATTAACTAATGAGTTTCTACTAGCTTCTTCTAGATAGCTCATATTAAGCAGAAATTAAAAGGTTTAAAGGGAAAGGAGAAAGCACATAAATTAAAAGATTAAACTAACTATGATAGATTACAAAACTCACTCTCATGCAGTCTTGATACTTGGCTTTGCAATTTTTGTATTTGCTCCTCCAAACTATCAGTCGAGCATGTTGGTGGCGAACTTATTGGCCTATCTGGCTCATCATCTTCTTCCCAATCATTTTCCTCACTCTCTGTATCACTTTCCAGAGCAATTCTCTTAAAAATTTTCTTCTGAGCAGCCTTTGCTGCTTTCGTCTTAGCAGTCTTGCTTTCCTGTTAAAACAATATGACAATTGTACCATGTAAATTGGTATTAAGGTGCTCGACAAATAAAAAGAAAAGTTTCTACCTAATTAAAAATTAAATAGATATGATGGGAGCAATGTGTTCTTTTAGCAACTATTAGTACCGAAAGAAGTTACAAACCTTACTATCCTGTATGCTCTTCATCTTTGTAGGGTTTTCCTCAGCGCCCAAGCGCAGTCTTTTCCTGTCTTTATTGTTATCTTCAACATCTGATAGCTTTTGGTTGGTAAAAAAGTCCAGTTCTTGTTTCATTAATTCCTTTTTGCTATCTGCAACATACAAGACAACCATTTCACAAACTTACAGAAGAAAGTATTCTATTTGTGACTGGTGCATTTAGGTACAACTGATCAATGCACAGCTAACAGACATTCTTGTGACTGACATTCATTAGAAAATCCGAGCAATAAGACTGGGGCGACCACGAGGAAAAATGACATGCAAACACAATATATTATATACAAAATATCTATCAAATGCCAATAATCCTTCGCTATTTCCTCTTTAAAACAACACAGCTAGTTCTGATGTCTTTAAAACAAAACACTAAACGTTTATGTGGATAATTAAAACACAATAGCATTTGAATTAGATCTCAATAAACACAATGATCAATCACAAAATCTGAGATTGTCTGAGTCAACAACAAAGCGTGCGATAAATTATAAAACGTACTATCCGCTATTTTGTAAGTATCAGTATTAATGTCTATAACAGCGACATCAAGCCTGTGTTTATATGTCATTGCACATATTATTTGCTTAAATACATACCACTTGAAGCCAAAACTTTCGCCAAATACGACATCCAGCCTGACTTTGGAGAGCAAACATAACCATGCCTTTCTTGGTCGGATCAGTAAGCATGCTTTCGTCCTTAACACAATCTTCTGTTACGATACTTGTCTCGTTGGACTGAACCCAGTGAACGAGTACGTACTTCATTTTAAAAAGGAAAATATTGTGTCACTTCCAACTAGATTGCCTCCTCAATCGCCAGCCGGCAGAAATATTGGTAGAAATGGACGTTCGAATTCGTGTGAACTTTGAATATGCGCGCGCAATGAGTTCTGGTGCAATGCAAGCTGGGTACGCTGGGTACTTATCCCCGGTCGGCATTCTACCACTGATCACCACATAACGCCGTCTCGGTTCCTACTTCCTTGAACCTTCAAAGCTTCTCAATGTGGACAGTGGCAATGCATAAACATGGATACTTCGTCTTGTAATTCTGAATTTGTCGACCGTAATTTTACCGTTAGTCAATCATCAAGTCAATCAGCAGAATGCGCTGTTACAAGAAAGAGAGGACCGAACTATGAGGTGAACTGATTATTCATACCTATTTTAACAATAATGATTTGAATTGTGTCAAAAAACAATGCTGCAAATATTATATTCTCATCACAAGAAAATCATAAAACATGCTACATCATAGCTGATCGATGCCAACTACTATAGTAGCCACATAGTATGCATATTTGTGCGCGTACGTGAAACCCCTGCTCAGCTAGATCGAACTTCATGAGTGTTGACATGTGCAACACATGTGCTTGTATAATTCGACCCTTGCGTACACATGTGAATCACATATGAACGCCATGTGTTAACATGTGAAACACATGTGGTTGGGTTTAAACACATGTGTATTACATGTGAAACGCACGTGGTTGTGTCTGAACACATGTGTATTACATGTGAAACACATGTGTATTACATGTGAAACACATGTGGTTGTGTCTAAACACATGTGTATTACATGTGAAACACATGTGTTCACATGTGAAACACATGTGTTCACATGTGAAACACATGTGTTTCACATGTGTTTTTTTCGTAAGGGTTCAGTCAAGAATATAAGGCTATCACATGCAACGTCGCAATAACATTCATTCGCACATGTTTTATTGCATTCTGTCAAGATCAATTACATAATCCAATTTCAACTACTTATAAAGAGATTAGTTGCATGTGCCAAAATTTGCTGCTATTAATGCCTTAGAAACACTGCAACACTTAAGTATAATGAAAAATATAGGCTTATCGCAGTGCTCAAATTCGCCGGATTGTGCATGATAAAGTTTGCAAGTGGTGGCTTAGCGCGTTATACTCAAACACAGTCTGCGGTTAACATGAGCGGCGCAAAGGTGCACAATTTTTTAGCCAAAACATATAGCAATTACATATACTGCCCTTATAGAAACAGCGGATCGAAACTGTCAAAAATGCGCACAATTTTTTCTGCAATGCAAAGCATATAGCAGTGCAGTCGCCCATATAGACACGACAATCCCAATTGCACGCACAGGGGAGTTTATACTCACCATTATAACAAAAAATCAATCCACATCATCTTCGAGACATCTAATTGTGACATAATTTGTGCCCCCTGCCTACGATAACCCGGCAAGCAAGACTTCTCCAGAAACATTATGTGTTGATGCATAAAATGTATCTACTGACTCTCGTGTCTGGAAAAATCTTATTTGCCTGTCCTGCCTGTCTCAGCTTAGGAATTAATAAGGTTGCATCCACACACAAATTACTTGATGTTTGAGTGCAGATGCACCTATTTATGTTATCTCAGTTTTGTGACCACCCAATTAAAGTACTCAAACCTCTTTGAACCTCTGGCAAACGATGTTCGATTTTACGATGTTCGACTGAACCAAAGCGATCTTGACCAATCAGCAACTTTCTTTTGTCATTTAGTCTACAAAAATTTCATATAAGCCTTAGTGCGCACTTAACAAATAAATATATATGCACACAAGGAAAGAAAATAAAGTTTGATCGAGCCAACAGTAATACGAAATCTGATGATTCATGATTTCATCGATAGGGCCTGATTTCAATGCTTGACGGGAATTATTTCCAAGCGCGACTCATGCATAAAGTATTTTTAATCAAACATGCCTTATATCAAACACTACAGTCTCGAAATTAATCAATATGTGTTCATACCTTTATATGCACGTGTTAAAACACCTCGACGTATCCATAGATATGAATATCCAGCAAACATTTGGGATAGGGCCTCGCGAAATTATTGGTAAAGATCTTTACCCGCGTGCTTATGAACTTGATTGGCGCCATTTCATATTTGTTCAATTCGCCGCTCTATAGCTGGCAACAGCCTTCAAAGTGCAAATGTGCAATGACCATACCGTAAATGATCTAATAAACGCCCGGGGCGTTTAATAATTTTTACCAGTTCTAAGGGAGGCGTTTAATAGATACGAGGCGTTTAATAGAGAGAGGCGTTTATTTCATTTCTATCACTTTACTGAAACAAAACAAAACAAAACTAAGACGCGCAGTTTGCTCGCGTAATAAGACTTTATATAGTTTCTGAGCCGAAAACGTGAAGTGGGTCTTGTTGTTCCTGGATGTTTTCAAGCTAGAACAAACCGAAAGAAAGTTGCCGACGTAATGAATACAGAAATCAAAAGAATTAAGGAACGATATCCGTACTTTGAGCTTGAAATCGAACAAGAGATTATAAGCAAACCACTCTTAAACACGACAACCGCAAATGTCACTAAATAAATAAATTCTTTAATGTTACTGCGTGTAGCGTTTCCTTTATAATTGCCTTAAGCCTTAAGGCGATTTGGGGGGGGGGGCGTCTATTAGACTCGGGGCGTTTATTAGAGAGAGGCGTCTAATACAAACTTACACTTCAAGGGGGGCGTTTATTAGATACGAGGCGTTTATTTGATAGGGGGCGTTTATTGGATCATTTACGGTACATGCCAAATGCATTATTACAATTTAATATCCGGAATGCAATTTCCTTATAAAGAGAACCCAAATCAAAATTAGTGAATATTTTCCTATTGTCCAAGCAGCTGTTAAATATGAATTCTAATGTTCATTTTCTGTGAGGTCAAACTTAAATGTTTGTAAGACCAATGATAATAGAACGAATTGAGTTTCTTTTAGATATAACTTATCGCCAATATTGTATTAGGCTTACGCTGCAGCATGTCAGCTGCCAATTTTACCAATTGGGCTTGTGCCAGTGTTCGCAAGGACTGCACAAACTTGGTAAAAACATAGCGCTAAAACTTTACCTCGTAAAACACGCAATTTGTAGACCGTGTCTTTCATTGCTTATGCTATAGTTTAATATCCAGAAAGCTTATATATATAGTTTAGCTTATATAAATGGTATAATATCAATTATAATTTCTGGTTTGTTATATCATCCTGATTATTTTGAACAAATAGTATGGCTTGTGTTTTGTGCCTATCAAAGTTTAGCTACGCTAAATTTCAGTGAGCAATATTATGATGTTCATTGGGCGACTTCCTTGTGGTTCTAATTTTTTCATTACTTGCATGCATACAATCTATATCATTTGTACAATTTGAGCTTTTCCGCGTTCCACGTTTCCGATTCGAGAAGCTAGTCGAGGGAAATCATATTATAACCAAACATAAGATGCCTGATTATAAATGTGCTTCAGTGCTTGGTGCATCTGACTTTGCCGAAAGTTGCGAAGTGCCTTATTCGGATCGCCCTCGGCCGGTGAACGTCGGCGTCCACGATCAAGCGCTTCAAAAGATCTATGTCTATTGTTGATAAAATTATTGCGATGTAGTTTAATAGTTATTTACATTTATTCCATTGTTAACACAACTATATAAGGGTTTTAATCATTGCATACTATAGATATGCAGTTATTCAATTTTGCTCCTATTATCAGGTTGCTTCGTATCTATCCCAATGACTATTTAAACGACTTTCAACAACCACACAACAACTATGCAATTCTACGTAATGCTGTTTTAACGTATATATGGCTGGAGACGTTGCATGTTTGTGCGCGCGTTGAACTTTGGCTTTATGGAAACAGCAAAAGTATTAAAGCATAGATTCTGACCATTGCATTATACCGCGGCATTCAAAAAACAACAAACTTTTGAAAGAAAGCCTTCTCAGTCTATGACTTGAAATTTGACCTTAATGACATAATTGCATGCACTGAACGCTAACAGAAATCTTGAAGCGCACGAAATAGCATTCGATCGGCTAAAATGATATAACCCCTTTACAAGCCTTCTGTTAAGGAACTGAATACGTTTCCAGGAATATTATGTGTTACACATTCGTCGCTTCTTCTATAAAGTTTAGTTGTAACATTGCAAATGTTTAATCTAATGTTCTACCCAATCCAATAATGCGATTGAACAAAATTCCGGCAAACGTTCCAACGAACGGTAAATCAAAACGGTTGAACGCTTTTGGAACCATTTTCGAACTTTTTTTCTCGAGGCTTTCGAACGGGCAATTTCGAACGATGAACCATCTCGAAAATCGTTTCAACGAACGCAAGAACGCTTGAAGTGTTTGAACGGCAAACGAATGGATAATGAACGATATTTTTCAAGGAACCAAATAGCGTTAACGTTAACGTTACCTTCCCGTGGAAGGTCACACATAAACAACAAAGTAAATTGCTTCGCACGAGTGGCAAATCACAACTGTATGACTGTTACTGGTCTGCTTGCTTTTACTACCTATAATTAACTTCGTTGACTAGGTACATATGACATTGATCGAGTATTTATGTGTAGCTGTCAACGCAGCGTAATTAGCCCTAAAGCTGTTGGACGGCATGTATCATACCAACATAACATATGTCTGCAGTCAGTGCAGTGGCATGACTGTGGCCATGTCCTTCAGGTATATTTTGCTATTGTTTTTACAATTTCACTCCATTTTATGATTTTAATATTATCCATGCTGTACTGGGATTACGTAGCAATAAAGAGCATGCAGTGTGCGGATAGCGATCGAAGCTCTGGCTCCCTCATAGCTGAACATAAACAACGTATAATGTTGCATCCGCTACTTGCGTTTACCTGTTAATCATTTTCCCCCTCCAGGTATATCAAACACGCCCATGCAACAGACAGTTGACATATTTTACCGTTGTCTGATTTAAAAACCAGTATCATGGTCTAGGATCAAAGGATTCCCAAAATCGTCTGGTTTCGTCCGTGTTAAAATGCACTCTAAAAAATAGTTGTGCTGAATAACACACCAAGGTGTGCTAAAAAGCACAACTGCTGTGTTATTTAGCACGCAAGGTGTGCTATAAATAATGAGAAATTAATTTTAACACGCCTTAGCGTGCTGTTGAACACACCAAGGTGTGCTGTACAGCACATGTTACTGTGTTATATAACACACCTTTTCATAAGCACATCTTTGTCCTTAAATTTCAACACACCTTTTTTCATTAAGGTGTGCTAATTTAACCTTTCAAATTCAACACACCTTAGAGCCAACACACCTGTTAAAAAACACACACCAATTTTTTAATAACACACCCTCTCACTAACACACCTTTTGAAAATGGACCTTTAGCACACCTTTTAAGAACACACCTTTCTATAAAACACACTTCTGCAAAACACACCTTTTTGTAATTAAGGGAATAGCACACCTTTGCAAACTTTATTCCTAATAACACACCTTTTTTAAAACGTTTCTATAATAGCACACTTCCGGATTTGTGCACAAACACACATTTACTCGTTAAGGATTAGCGCACCAGGTTATAATCCGACATCAGCATTTTACCATTTAGGTGACGACCAACATAAGCCACAATTAGTCATGATACGCGAAAGCAAGACTAGTAAATTATTGTAGTGTATTAGCTATTTTTCTAGCGCGGACTATAAAATGGTCGCTGAGTTTTTTAAGGTGTCTCAGACCAGAGAACGCGACTAGAGAACGCGACTTTCTATCAAGCAATCGCAGACTCAGTTGAGAATGGCGGATATTTTTAATTAAAAATTAAAACATTTCGTTAAAATTCTCCAATTATGGCACTTCCCACTGATTTTTGCAGGTCTTTGTATTATGCCTCTACCAATTTTCTGCAACCCTCAGCCGGGCGAACGCCTGAGTATAGGCTTATTACGCGTGGATTAAAATACAACCAGATGTGTCAGGTGGTTATCCCGTACGTCGGGTTAGATTAATATTTCTGAATAATGATTTTCATGTAGGAAAACTATTAACGCAATAAATAATACTATTAAATAATATTCTTATATTCTTTATAATAAGTGGCAAATCACGTTTTTAGCACTGTTCTTTAGTGTGACACCAGTAATTCCTCAATCATTCTAGAGTTCCTTTCTACAATAAATAATTTCCCTTCCTTTTTTATTAAATTTAAAACCCTATGCCATGGAAGTTGGTTGGGAGACACAACTCTTTTCTCATAGCTTCTACCAACTTCATATCATGATTAGTTCATCCAATAGAGCATACAGGGGGTAATCTCTTCCACAATCTTCATCTATGTCAAGAAGCCGCAAGGCGCAACCAATCCTGAATTCCACTCCATGAATTGTCACAGACCCCAAGCTGTAATAAACTCAAAAAAATATATTTAATATTATACTTATTTCACCGCATGTTTTCCAGATTTCTTCAGTTTTTTCGACCCAACTGGTGGTGCTAGTTTCCTTTGTCCTGTCCCCTCAGTGAACCTTGAAAATAAAATGCGTACAATATAACTACTACAACAATAGATTACCTGCTTCCTACTATTGGACCATCAGTTTCAGGTATCTTAGCAGACTCTCGAATCATGTTGATTTGGAGATGTTCCTTCAGATTAACATTGTGATTACCTAAACAAGTAAAATATTTTATGACTGTTATTATATTTTATGTAATTATATTTTATATAATCAACCAAATTTTCACTCAAAATATGCATGATCATGCTAACCACACTTACCGGGAGGAACTATATCACCATCATATAGAAAATTTGTAAATATCTGCCCTGGCATTTTTAACAAATTCCAACACATATACCTAAACAGAAAACAGAGTATCTGATTTTATTTACTGACTGATCTAATTTACTTGTTAATTACTGAATACATACCGTTGGTGACGATTTGCCAGCGTCTTGGAAACATTTTTAAAACATTTTGTCACACATTGCTTCATAAATGAATGCTTGGCTTCAAATCTCATGGACCAAAAATTTCTCGGAGGCCAAACCTAAATAGAAAACAAACTACATATTTATATCAATCATTGTCATTCAGGTGTAATCATGTTTCACATCAGTGTTAATCTGTGCTTCATAGAATCCTACCTAGACATATCATCAGGTATATGAATCAAATAATGCATCTTAGGTATAATAGATGTATTTGGGTAAATCTCTTTAAAATTCCTGTGGTGTTCCTCAATTAAAACCTTTAAATAAGGTACCTCTTCTTCCTTTATAGCAGGGGATGTGCAAACTTGAACAATATTCCATAATTGTAAAAAACAGTGCCACTCCTTTAAATTCTTGTCAATCAGATCCCCCACGATTATTGGAAAGAATCTGAAAAGGCACCACATCTGTGAAGCTAAAATAAAAAAGAATGGAGGTTTCTGAAAATGTTCTATTGCCTTACAATTCAAGAAGGAAAATAAATGAATTTTCTAACATACCACTTTGCTTAAGTTTTGAATCAGAAGAGTTCACAGTCTCCCGGACAATCTGTGATGGCTTGTTCTTTGTATTCATGTAACCATAATCAAAACTTTCTATTCTGTGGTTTAATTCCTTTAGGGAAATGAACTTCTTTTCATCCACTATAACCTTAAGTAGTAGCTTCATTTCGTATGGAATAACACCTTCAAACAGAACATGCATAATATTCTGTGGGAAGCATTGACAAACATCAAAGTTTCCAGCATTGACCAACACCGACTTTCCATTAACACCATAAGTTGTTGAAATGCGATCTTTCACATGACTGCTATTTTCTGGATCATCCAACATGTGGCAAATTTGGATATGGGTATTTAAGGTTCTTGGCTGAAAGTTCTCTGATCTGAACTGAAGAGACATAAAAATACCCTATTGTACCTAAATTTGCACATACATATACTGACCTAAATAACCAAAAACCATTACCTGTTAATTACTCTCTTCTCTTGTTGCCAGGCAAGACCTACAAAAGCGAAGTGCACCTCCAACTCCCTCTTTAAACCCTGCAATCTGTTGACTTGCTAAAGTATCCCCACTCCAAAGGAGTAGATCCCCTTGAAACTTTCTTTCAACACCATCAATGATAAAGCTATATCCTTGCTCCTATAAACAGGAGAGGGTTGAAATATTCCCATCAAGTTGCCTATACAAATCAGCTATATATGCATCAATATACATATCATTATTAACATATGTTTGCATTATTATAAATTAACATACAGTAGTCCCCCGCTAACTCGAACTCGCTTAACTCGAACTCCTCGCTATCTCGAACTAAATCCAATTCCCCTTGAATTTGATAGTGTTTTTTATAGTAATTTACTCCGCTTAACTCGAACTCGCTTAACTCGAACTCCTCGCTAATTCGAACAAATTTTGTTTCCTCTTGGTCAAATATATCCGGTTAACTCGAACTTTGGTTTCGAATCATAGATCAGCAAACTTTTAAATGTGAGAAGATAGAATTTTGAACTGGAAACTATCAAAATAACAACAAGTTAATCTGTGTTTAATTGTATTCTGTGTATAATTTTATGTAAATGCTTATAAAATTTAAAAGATTTTGTGTGGTGCTACGGTCGTTATTGATCTAAATTTTTTGGTTCCTTTTGTATTCTTTCGATCTTTTTAATTTTAAAACGTCGTCCACTCTCGCTGACCATTCATATTGGGAGGCCTGGTATCCCTTGAAGAATGATTCGATTGGATTTTATATCTTATTGTATTACTTATACAGCCGGGGTGTATAAAAAAAAAACGCAACCACTTAATATTCTAAAATTCATATTGTTCATAAGCTCAATAGATTTTACGCCCCTGGGATTTTAAAATGGCTTCTAATCGTACAGTTCAACTGCTAATAGTCAAATCAGCTAAACTAATATTGGTGCAGCTAACAACCGAACAACGAGTCTTTATTGTCGTGCATGATAACTTGAATGCTAACTGTCGACCTTCTAAAATAAATTGTAAATTGTAAATTTTACTCGTTAAATACTTTCAATTCAGCTCGTTGGTTTACGCATTCGACTTTGTTTACCGACGATTGTGCCGCTAGTATATGATAACAAGCTTTCTCGCATTCCAGGGGCCAAACGTCTTTTGTGTTGTAGAACAAAGAGGATATTCATGAATATTAAGTGGTTGCGTTTTTTTTGATACACCCTGTATAATAAACGTAATCTGACACCAACTCCAGTTAACTCGAACCCCCGGTAACTCGAACAATTTTTCTTTCCCCTTGGGAGTTCGAGTTAGCGAGGGACTACTGTACCTTAGTTAATTTGTTAACTTCTTCAACAGTTGGCGCAAGTAGTGCATTTATGCTATACAATTTCAAGTCAGAGGTCTTCGCAATAGAAATTAAGCAACTGAATTGTTCTTGTCGAGGACCGATATATTGGTTGTATATTCCCAAGGGTTAGGGTTAGGGTAATAGAAAACACCTATTAATAAAAATGTTAAAATTTAAAAAAAAAATATATACTTATACATGAATAAATATTCACACTTACCAATTTTGTGAATCTTTGCCTTGGATCCCAATGGATTTGCTAATTCTAAGTCATTATAATAACTAAGAAGCTGTAGGGCTTTATTATTTCTGGAAAATATTGGATGGTTTCTGAAAAATTCTCCATCCATGATATCTCTCATTATACCATCATCAGAAGAATGAGGATTGTCAACTTCATTCATAACATCTGGATTGTTCAAAAGTGCCTGAAGAATCCAATTTTGGGTTTAATCATTATGTTATTCAGTGCATGACAATAATTTGATATTGAGCAATTGAATTATTGAACAGCCACTTTGATAAGCTCTGAATAAAAAAGGACAATCCACTTAACAGGCACAACAGTGCGGATTAAGAAGCATCCCTCATAGATGATATGCCCATAGTTGCCATAGGGTGGTTTATATTTTTGAATAAAGCTTCAAAAAATTAACAAGCGTGTTTACAAGCCTTTTTTTAATGCCTATTCATGATTGATTCTACCTCTAAATTCTGAAGCAATGGAACTAGGTAATCATAAGCAGTGATCCGCTTCAAAATCTTCCTCCCTCCACAGGTGACATGCTTCCATTGAACTCCTAACTTTTCTTTCCTTGGTTCCTAGAAAAAAAGGGTTAATCACACAAAGTTTGAGACTTCTCTAGGACTATATATCATTGGCCAAGTTGAAAACATTATCAAACAAAGGAAATCCAAACATTATTTGCTCTGTAAAAAATGGGTTACTTTGAAGTTTATACACCGAAATATAGGTATGTGACGTCAACACGGAACACAGAATAGCAACTTACCACTAAATTGAACTGACTCTTAAAGAAAGATTGCTGCTGGTACTCCGTGTTTAATCCCTCAAATACACTATCTGCATCAAAAAGCTTTTCCATATCTTGCGAAAACTGGAATTGTTCACCAACCTCGTCACGTAGCTTTCGAATCAAACTAGCTTTGACTATGTCAAAGTACTCATTCAAAAGATCCTTGGTAGAAATCTTGACAGTGTCGAGAGGAGTTTGTGTGATATTCCCTCTTTTTTTAGCCCGGAGCAAAAACTTTGCGCATGATACTTAAGGTTTTCAGCACACTTTTCATCGTTTTCTGGTCGTTCACCATCGTCTTGACAAGTCATAATTGGTCACGGCCATATCGTCACCTCCACAATGCTCATCGATGGCTCGGTGATCTCGGTGATAGTGTTTTCGAAGACTTTCAACTCTGGTAAATGAACGCGGACACGAGCCACAAAACACTTTAAAATTAGGATCATTCGAATGTACATGTCTCAGGTGCTTAAAAAATAGCGCGCTCTCAGATTTTCAGCATGAAAAATTACAATAATCACAGCAAAATAAGTTACTAAATTCCTCTGCCTGACTGGCCATACGTCGGGTATCCTCTTCTAACACCTCGGGACGAGATTGATTTTCATGATGTGTAACGAAATTCGTGATCGATGGAAATAATATGGAAGCACGCCCAAGGGAGGAAATTAATAGGTAATTGACGGCCTATTATGATTATTATTGCTTCTCATTGGTTAATGAGAAGCAATTATGTTTGATGCAACTAAGCAACTTGGGTCTTGGGGTATCATTTTACTGTTGTTGACACACTTGTTGTTTGCTTTCTTTGCGTTATCACTGCTGTTTAATTTAAACTATTCTGAATAATAATTTCAACGTGATGGATCTGAGGAGTCTAACCTGTATACAATTGCAAGACTTGATGAGGAGCAGATCGATCCCAGCGGATATATGCGATTCACTTCTAGGTAAATACCTTTGTATTGCTCTGAATGCTATGGAAGTAAAAAAATCTACGCAAATTGTTTAAAAATTCGGTTTCGTTTATCATTTTCACAATTTCGTATAGCAAACGACATTGATGGCATGATACTGAGTTGATCTGATTGACGATCAAGCTGAGTTTCAATCAATGTTCCCGAAATCTGGACATCGTTTACACATGAAGCGGGTCGTAAAAAGTCTAGCTGCGGAATGTCACACGTTGACTTCGAATCCTGAAAGTGGTTTCTGTGATGTAAATGTTTCAAGCCCAAGTCTAGAGAACTAAACATCGACAATAGATGAACAGTCGGTATGTGTTTATTATTTTTTATTTCTCATTTTTAACCCAGATCGCATAAATCGATTTATAAATAGATTTTGAAACAATTTATGTCATCTTTACACTTTAGCTGCCATAAAATAGATTCCCCATAGTTAATAGGGGGACTTTTGGGGGACACCCTGTATTATTCACTCAATGCTTAGATAGTTGGGTTATATGTGATAAACTTATACATACACCTTCTTTGGGACTTTTCAAGTTACACACTTTAGGTAGACTGAAATGTGTTGTGTTACAACTTAAGGATAAATTCACTTTCTTTTAGTTAAGTAGCATCATGTCTCATTTGGCCAATATTGAGAATTGTGGTGCATTTTCCAATGGTGTTGATATCCTGAGCATGCCGTCGCCATGTATGCAGTCCACGCCAACAACAAATCCTGTTTGCAAAGATGCTCTAAGTTCATCCCAAGTTAGCACTCCATCACCCAAGATGAAAAAAACACCAAAGATGGAAAAGTCGAAGGCAGCCGGGCTGCCGACTGATATGGGTTTTCCTGAGCGCTTTTCGATGAAAGTGGAAAGGGCAATTGAAGAAGGGAATATATTGCCTGTGAGGAGACAACTGATTGCTGATATAGCTCAATTTTACCAAGGATTGTCAAATTCTCCCCAACAAGGAGACTACAAAAGAATTGCATTGAAGACCTGTGAGAAGTTTCCCCAGCTAAAAGATTCAACTGGAACAAATTTTTGGGTATGTTCAAAGCCATTTTATATGTTACTTTTTATGCTGGCAAGTCTTTTTAGTTAAGTGCTATTGGGGAAGGACAAAAATTTCAAAATGGCCTGAAAAGTAATGTCACAAGCCTACCATTTATGAACTTGCCAAATATTAATGTACCTAATCTTAATAACATGTTCCAGTAGTGTCAACTTATTTGTGCTTCAAAGTTGATGAAATGAGGCATAAATATAAAGTGAACAATACTGCAATGCGATAAACATTTTAAAAGTAAATAAGTTAGCCATAAAAATAAATTATTAGAATGATGATTATTGTTAATTAGGTGATCATATCATTTTCAGGCATCTGTTCAGAGACAGTTGAGCCAGTACTTTAGAAATCAGCGAAGGTATTCAAAAGTGAGACTGTCCACTGATAGTAAGAATGGATGCCCGGCTTCAAAATTGGCAAAGATTAGTGACTCGAAAGTTGATGATGCAGTCACACAACAAAGAAATTTAGAGCTGCTTAAAGACTACCAAGTTGGGTCGATATCGGGAAAGACATTTGTCACACTGGTGGAAGACACGTATCAGGCACGAAGGAAGTTTATAACTTCATAGGCCTCTTCCAGTGCAGAGATTCTGGAGAAATGCCCTTATCTTGGAAAAGCAGAGAATGTAAGTGAAATTACCTCATGGTTATCATACTACCCACCATTATAAAGGGAAAAATATAATTTCATACATTAGTAGCAAATATCTTATTGATATACCCTGTACATTTGATGTTTTTAGGTTAGAAAGGAGATGAAACGGGTCATGCAGGGATTCTCCTACCCTGAAACTCTAAAGAATTTCGAAGCTGCATTAAAGCAAGTTATAGGAGATGACAACAAGATGACAAAACTTGATAATGGGGAAGTATACAACGCTGTTGTAGCGATTGAGAAGAAAACAATGCGAAAAGGCCAATCAGCCATAAAGTTGAAAGATGTAAGTATTTAACTACAGCTTAATTGTGTGTGTAATCTGGTTGATTCTTAGCATAATTTTTTACCTGTATACAAGTGATATTAATTTTTTGCTGTTTCTTTCAGCGGTCATGTAAGCCTGACCAGCTTTTTAAAGACAAAATGGTGGATTTCAAGCTTGTGTTGGTTGGGTCTCCAGATGATATACTGCAAGCCTTCATTGCTGGTGAGAATCAATGCTTCATGGAAACCTCAAATAATCTTCTGGAGGCCTTAGTGGACCTTATTTGTACTTACTATGTTTTTGATGTGAGTTACCCTGATAATCTCTCAGGCATTCTTTTTTTAATTCAAGATTTTGGTCTTAGGGCAAAGGACAATGCCAAAAGGTCCATAAAGTACTCTACTTTAGCATCAGAACTATTAAACGCGGGTTGTCTAATTACCCACATATTCCCGCTAACATAATATTAATTGTATCTTTGTATAGTTTCATAGAAATACATTTCCCTTGCATGTGGTTTATTTATAGTATATGTATTTGCCTTAGCATTTTAATAAAAAGCATTTTATAAACTTGACAGGTGTTATTGTGTTATAGTTTCATGTTGTCCTTTTTAATAGTGTGCTTATTTTGTAGCCTGGAATGTGTGCACATTTAACACACCCAATGTGTTTAATAGCACACTTTGGTGTGCTAAATAACACACCTTAAGTTGTGATTTTAGCACAGCAAGGTGTGCTAGACAACACACATGGGTGTGCTAAATAACACGCCTTGATGTGCTAACTAACACAGCAAATGGTAGAACACATCTTAAGGTGTGTTAAAATAAGGACAAGCTAACAACACACCTTTTCATGTGTTATGAAACACACAAGGTGTGCTACTTTGTTATATATATATATATATTATATATATATATATATTATATAATATATATATATATATACACCCATTTGCAAAAACGTTGGCCGCAGATAGATATATAGATAAATACTCGAAATCTAATTAGAATTGCATATGTTGTGTAATATGATTGAAATCCCATGCAAATGTAATCATATGCAATTCTAATTAGACTTCGAGTATCTATCTATCTATCTGCGGCCAACGTTTTTGCAAATGGGTGTATATATATATTCTAAATAAATATAAATATATATTCTAAATATATATTCTCGTCCACGCGTTTGTAATTTTCCGTCTCGTCCACGCGTTTGTAATTTTCAGTTTGAAAATTAATAAATCTCCACTCACCCAAAATAATTTGACGAAAAAATCCCGATCTATTCAGTTAGTTTCTTCGAATTCTCTTAACAATATTAAAAACGAGCTCTTTATATAATAGATTCCACAATGATATATGTCCAAATTAGATGTAAATGTTCGATCATTTAAGAAATACGCGGAGAACTTATTTCAGTGACCGCACGCGTGCGCGCAGCTGACCATTCCAATTTATTATGATATGCTAATTATGATCAAGATCATCATAATGATCATAATGGTTGCAATGGGACCATCATTTATTATGATTAATATGCTAATTATGATCAAGATCATCATATTAATGATCATGGTTACCATGGTAACAATCATTCATTATTATTATTGTGCGAATTATAATCATGATCATTATAATAATTATCATAGATTTAGTGGCAACCATCAATTATTATGATGTATATGCTAATTATGATCAAGATCATCATAATGATATTCACGGTTGCCATAGCAACCATCATTTATCATGATTATTATGTCATGAACATCATAATGATCATCATGGTTACCATATCAACCATCATTTATTGTGAATATTATGCTAATTATGATCATGATCACCATAATGATCATCATGGTTGCCATGGTAACCATTATTTATTATTATCATGCTAATTATGAACATGATCATCATAATGATCATCATAGCTGTAATTGCAACCATCATTAAATATGATTAATATGCTAATTATGATCAAGATTATCATGTTGATCGTCATGGTTGCTATGGCAACGATCATTTATCATGAATAATATGCCAATTATAACAAAGATCATCATATTGATCATCATCGTAGCTATTGTAAACATCATGTATTATTAAAAATATACTATTTATGATCAAGATCATCATAATGATCATCACGGTTGCTATTGCAACCATATTTTACTACGATTATTATGCTAATTATGATCAAGGTCATCATAAGGATCATCATTATTTCCTTAGTAACCATAATTTATTATTATTAATATGCTAATTATGATCAAGGTCATCATAATGATCATCATGGTATCCATAGTAAGCATAATTTATTATTATTATGCTAAATATAATCAAGATCATCATAACGATAATCATGGTTGCCAATGTAACCATAATTTAATATGATTAATATGGTGATTTTGATAATGATCATCATGATGATAATGGCTGCCATAGCAACCACTTTTATTATGAATAATATGCTAAATATGATCATGATCGTCATAATGATCACCATATTTGCCATGGAAACCATCACTTATTATGATTAATATGCCATTTATAATCAAGATCATCATAATGATCATTAAAGTTGCTATGGCAACCATAATTTATTATGGTAATTATGATAAAGGTCATCATAATTATCATCATTGTTGCCATATCAACCATCGTTTACAATGAATATTATGCTAATTATGATCATGATCATCACAATGATCATCATAGCTGTAAATACAACTATTATTTATTATGATTAATATGCTAATTATGATCAAGATCATCATAATGATCAGCATATTTTCCATAGCAATTATAATTTATTATGATATACTAATTATGATCAATATCATCATATTAATCATCATTTGTTTGCAATGGCAACCATAATTTATTATGATTAATATGTTAATTTTGATCATGATCATCATGATGATGATAATGGTTGCCATAGCAACCATTTTTTATTCTGAATAATATGCTATTTATGATCAAGATCAATATAATGATCATCATGGTTGCCATATTAACCATGATTTATTATAATTATTATAATAATGATGATCGTGATCATCATAATGATCATCATGGTTGCCATGGCAACCATGAAATATTATGATTATTTTGCTAATTATGGTTAAGATCATCATAATGATCATCATGGTTACCATAGCAACCATTATTTTTTATGATTAATATGCCAGTTATAATCAAGGTCATCATTATGATCATCATGGTTGCTATGGAAACCATCATTTAGTATGTTAATTATGATGAAGATAATCATAATAATCATCATAGTTGCTATGCTAACCATCATGTATTAAGAATAATATGCTAATTATGATAAAGATCATCATAATTATTTTCATAGTTGCTATGGCAACCATTATTTATTATGATTAATATGCCAATTATAATCAAGATTATCATAATGATCATCATAGATGCCATGGAAACCATCATTTAACATGATTATTGTGCTAATTATGATCAAGATCATTGTAATGATCATCATGGTTTTTATGGTAACCATGATTTATTATAATTATTATGCTAATGATGATCGTGATAATCATAATGATCATCGTCGTTGCTATGGTAACTATCATGTATTATGATTAATATGTTAAATATGATTAAGATCATCATAATGATCTTCATGGTTGCTATGGCAACCATCATTTATTATGCTAATTATGATCAAGATCATCGTAATGATTATCATGGTTGCCATGCCAACTATCATGTATTATGAATAATATGTTAAATATGATTAAGATCATCATAATGATCTTCATGGTTGGCATGGCAACCATGATTTATTATGATTATTATGCTTATTATGATCAAGATCATCATAATGATCATCATGGTTACCATAGCAGCCTTCATTTATTATGACTAATATGATAATAATAATCAAGATCGTCACAATGATTATCGTGGTTGCCATAGCAACAATCATTTATTATGATTATATTGCTAATTATGATCATAGTCATTATAATGATCTTCATAGTTGCAATAGCAACCTAGATTTATCATGATTATTATGCTAAATATGATCAAGATCATCATAATGATCATCTTGGTTGCCATGGTAACAATGACGTATAATTATTATTATGCTAGTTATGATCAAGATCATCATAATGATCATCATGGTTGCAATGGCAATAATAATTTATTTTGGTAATGATGATCAAGATCATCATAATGATCATCAAGGTTGCCATAGCAACCATCATTTGTTATTTTTAATATGCTAATTATGATCAAGATCATCATAATGATCATTACGGTTGCTTTAATGATACGTACTTATGTTTATGAATAATTGCACATCCGGTTTGTTGTATATAAAAAGGGAATGCATTGTAGTTAGTAAGTCAAAATATACAAAGTTGTCTTAGTATAATGAAGTGTTGGGTTATGATAAGAGACGTTACATGGTGTCAGGTGTTGTGAGTGAAACTCACGTTGTTCGTAAAGAAAGAACAAGACCGTTGCTAGCATGTCTGGTGAAGAAGTGATGTCGTCCGGAGCACCACAGCAGGCAAGAGTTGCTCAACGGTTTCATGTCAATATTCCATTGCCGGCGAAATTGGATTTACGAGGGAATTTGGCTTCGAATTGGAAGAGGTTCAAGAGAATATGGGATAACTACGAGATAGCTTCCCGATTGCGAAACGAATCGAAGGAATTAAGAACAGCAGCGTTGCTCTCTTGCATTGGAATCGAAGGGTTTGAAACATATGAAGGGCTAGAGTGGGCAAACGACGATGAGAAAACAGACATAGATATAGTCCTGGAAAAGCTTAAAACTTTTTATGTTGGAGCTACAAATGTTATCTACGAGCGATACAATTTTAACCGACGAGTACAAGAGCCAAGTGAGTCCTTTGAAGCGTATGTCGTAGCGTTAAGAGCCCTTGCTAAGTCATGTAATTACGGACATTTAGCTGACGATTTTATACGCGATAGAATAGTCGTGGGAGTTCGAGAGAATAGTTTACGAAAGAAATTACTTCAAACGAGGCATTTGACGTTGAGGAAGTGCATAGATATCTGCCGAGCGAGTGAAACTACAGACCAGCAGTTAAAAAGTATGTCTCAAACCGATGAGGTTCACGCCCTTTGCACAAAATTAGGTGGAAAGAAAAATAGAGAGCCAACGAAGTGGAACAAAGGGATTAGTCCAAGAGCGTAAACAACTCGCGACAAAACTCATCGCCGAATTAAAGAAGAGTGCCCGCATTGGGAAAGAAGTGTTTGAAATGTAATAAGGCAAATCATTTTGCGTCGCAATGTTGTACTAAACCCAGAACTGAGGAAAAGAATATTCATGGAGTTGAAAAGCAGTCTGAAAGTGAGGACGAAGATTACGTCCTGACAGTTAAAGAAGAATCAGTCATGTCTGTCGGCGAAACCAAGTTTCCCAAGAGAATATTTGCTCATATGTTGCTAAATGAAACGATTGTGAAGTTCCAGTTAGACAGTGGGGCGACGGCGAATGTTCTACCGTTGCAGTTGTATCGAGAAATCTTTAAGGATCCTGAGCTTGAGCACTTGAAGAAGACAGAAACGACATTGGTGATGTTAAATAAATAAAAAATAAGAGTCCTGGGAAAGATAAAGATGACTACCGTCAACCCCAAGAACAAGATGAAGCATATGGCTGAATTCTTGGTGGTGAATTATAAACCGTTGTTGGGGTTTCAAACCATCCAAAAATTCAAACTAATGTCAGTGAACGAGGAGAATGTAATGACTGTGCGACGACATTCCGAAGTGAACTCGAAGGCATTCCTAAATCGTTTTGAAGTTATCCCGAAGTCAATTCAAACAGGTTCCGACGTCAACCCGAAATCATCCCGAAGCAGTTCCGAAGTAAAAACGAAGTTTGCCCAAAGGTTTTCCGACCACTCGAGGAGAGCCCATAATAGACCTTATGATCAAGATCATCATAATGATCATCATGGTATCCATAGCTAGCATAATTTTATTATTCTTATCATGCTAATTATGATCAAGATCATCATAACGATAATCATTGTTGCAATGGTAACTATCATTTAATATGATTATTATGCTAATGATGATCATGATAATCATAATGATCATCATGGCTGCCATTGCAACCATGATATATTAGGATTATTATGCTAATTATGATCAAGATAATCATAATGATCATCATGGTTGCTATACCAACCGTCATGTATTATGATTAATATGCTATATATGATTAAAAGCATCATAATGATCTTCATGGTTGCAATAGCAATCAATATTTTTATGATTATTATGCTAATTAAGATCATCATCATCATAATTATCATCACAGTTGTTATGGAAACCATATTTTATTACGATTATTATGCTAATTATGATCATGATCATCATAATTATCATCATGGGTTACATGCCAACCATCTTTTATTATTATTATTCTGCTTATTTTTTTAATGAACATCATAATGATCATTACGGTTGCCATGTCAACCATCATTTATTATGACTTTTGTGCTAATGACAATCATGATCATCATAATGATCATCATGGTTTCCATGGCAACTATAATTTATTATGAATTTTAGGCTAATTATCATCATGATCATTATAATGATCATCATATCTGTAATGGCAACCAACATTTATTATGATTAATACGCTAATTATGATCAAGATCATCATAATGATCATCATGGTTTCCATGGCAACCATAATTTATTACGATATGCTATTTATGATCAAGATCATCATAATGATCATCATTGTTGCGATTGCAACCATAATTTTTGATGATTAAAATGGTAATTTTGATAATGATCATGATGCTGATGATAATGGTTGGACTAGCAACCATTTTTTATTATGAATATTAAAATAATTATGATAATGATCATCATAATGATCAACATGGTTTCCATGGCAATTATAACTTATTATGAATTTTAGGCTAATTATGATGATGAGCATCATAATTATCATCATGGTTGCCATGGTAACCATCATTTAATATGATTATTATGCAATTGATTATCATCATGGTTGCCATAGTTACTATCCTTTATTATTATTATTATGCTAATTATAATCATGATCATTATAATGGTTATCATAGATGTAATGGCAACCATCATCTACTATCACGAATATGCTATTTATGATCAAGATCATTAAAATTATCATCACAGTTTGCCATGGCAACAATCATTTATTATTTTTAAACTAATTATGATAATGATCATCATAATGAACATCATGGTTGCCATGGTAACCATCATTTATTAGGATTAATATGCTAATTGTGATCAAGATCATCATAATGAACATCACGTTTGCCATTGCAGCCAGAATTTATTATGATTATTATGCAAATTATGATCAATATTATCATAACCATCATCATGGTTCAAATTGCAACCATAATCTATTAGGATTAATATGCTAATTATGATCAAGATCATAATAATGATCAACATGGTTTCCATAGCAACCAACATTTATTATGATTAATATGCTAATTTTGATAATGATCATCACGATGATGATAATCGTTGCCATAGCAACCATTTTTTTTACTAAATAATATGCTAATTATGATCAAGATCACCATAATGACGATCATAGTTTCTATAACAACCTTCATTTAATATGATTATTATGCTAATTATGATCATGATCATCATAATGATCATCATGGTTGCCATGGTAACTATCATTTATTATGATTAATTTCCTAATTATTATCAAGGTCATAATAATGATCATCATCGTTGCCATGGAAACCATCATTTAACATGATTATTATGCTAATTATGATCAAGATCATTATAATGATCATCATGGTTGCCGAGGTAACCATGATTTATTATAATTATTATGCTAATGATGATCGTCATCATCATAATGATCTTTATAGTTGCCATAGCAACCATAATTTTTTATGAATATTTTGCCAATTATGATTATGATCATCCTAATAATCATCATGGTTGATATAGCAAACATCATTTATTATGATTTTCATGCTAATTATGATCATGATCATCATAATGATCACAGTGGTTGCCATAACAAATATGATTTATTATGAATATTTTGCTAATTATAATAAAGATCATCATAATGATCATCATGGTTGCCATAGATACCATTATTTTTTATGATTAATATGCCAGTTTTAATCAAGATCATCATAATATTTATCATAGTTGCTATAACAATTATCATTTATTATGCTAATTATGATAAATTCATCATAATGAACATCATGGTTGCTATGCTACCCATCATGTAATATGATTAATATGCTATTTATGATAAAGATCATCATAATTATCTTCATATTTGCTATTGGAAGCCATAATTTTTTATTATTAATATGTCCATTATAATGAAGATCATCATAATGATCATCATAATTGCTATGTCAACGATCATTTATTATGATTATTATGCTAATTATGATCATCATCATCATAATGATAATCATGGTAGCTATTGCAATCATCATTTATTATTATTATTATGCTAAATATGATCATGATCATTATAACGATCATCGTCGTTGCCACGGTAACCATCATGTATTATGATTAATAAGCTAATCATGATCAAGATCATCATAATGATCATCATGGTATCTATAGCAACCATAACTATTATCATTATTATGCTCTATATGATAAAGATCATCATAATGATCATCAAGGTTGCTATGACAACCATCATTTATTATAAATAATAAGCTGATTATGATCAAGATGATCAAAATGGTAATCTTGGTTGCTATGGCAACCATAGTTTATTCTATTATTTATGATCAAAATCATCACAATGATCATCATATCTGTAATGTAAACCATAATTTATTTTGTATAATATACTTATTATGATCAAGATCATCATAATGATCATCATGGTTGCATTGGCAACTGAGATTTATTATTTTTAATATGCTAATTATGATTAAGATCATCATAATGATCATCATGGTTGCCATGGCAACGATAATTTATTATGATAAATACGCTAATTATGATCAAAATCATCATAATGAGCATCATGGTTGCTATGGCAACCATCATTTATTATGATTAATATGCTAATTATGATCAAGATCATCATAATGATCATCATAGTTGCATGGCAACCATCATTTATTATGATCAATATGCTAATTATGATCAAAATCATCATAATGATCATGTTGGTTGTCATAGCAACTATAAATAATTATGATTAATATGCTAATAATGATTAAAATCATCATAATGAGCATCATGGTTGCCATGGCAACCATCATTTATTATGAATAATATGCTAATTATGATCAAAATCATCATAATGATCATCATGGTTGCCATTGCCAATTTATTATGATTATTATGTCATTTATGATCATGATCATCATAATGATCAACATAGTTGCTATGGCAACCTTAATTTATTAGAATGAATATGCTAATTATAATAAAGATCATCATAATGATCATCATGGTTTTCCTGGCAAATATAATTTGTTATAATTATCATGCTAATTATGATCTTCATCATCATAATGATCATCATGGTTGCTATGTTGCCATGTAATCATAATGATAATCATGGTTGCCATGGTAACCATAATTTACTAATATTATTATGCTAATTATGATCATGATCATCATAATGATCATCATGATGGTAATGGCAGCCATCATTTATTATGATGAATATCCTGATAATGATCAAAATCATCATAGTCATCATCAAGGTTGCCATTACAACCATAATTTATTGAGACTATTATGCTAATTATGATCAAGATGATCATAATGATTATCACTGTTGCCTTGGTAACCGTCATTTAGCATGATTAATATGCTAATTGTGATCTAGATCATCATGATAATTATCTTGCTCATTATGGCAACGATAATTTATTAGGATAATTATGCGAATTATGATAAAGATCACATTATGATCTTTACGGTTGTCATATCAAGCATCATTTATTAGGATGTTTAAGCTAATTATGATCATGTTCATCATAATGATCAGCATAATTGCTATGGTAACTATCATTTATCATGATTAATATGCTAATAATGACCAAGATCATCAAAGTTACCATAGCAACCATCATATATTACGAATATTATGCTTAATAAGATCATGATCATCATAATGATCATTCTGGTTTTCAAGGTAACAATAATTTATTATTATTACTTTCCTAATTCTGATCATGATCATCGTCATAATCATTATGGTTTCCATGGCAACTATCATTTATTATGATATGCTAATTATGATCAAGATGATCATAATGATCTTCATGGTTCTAATAGCAACTATAATTTATTATGATTAATATGCTAATTTTGATCATTATCGTCATTATAATGATAATGTTTGCCAAAGCAACTATCATTTATTATGAATAATATGCTAAATAGGATCAAGATTATCATATTGATCACATTAGTTACCATAGGAACCATTTTTTATTTTTTTTTATGCTAATGATGAAAATGATCATCATAATGATCATCATAGTTGTTATGGAAACCATAATTTATTATGAATAATATTATAATTATTATCAAGATAATTAAAA